ACATCTACAGGAAATAATATTTCGAGAAATTATTTCACACCAGAATTTAAATTGGATACCACCTTATAAATGCCTGTTTCACCTTTTTTAAGAATAAAAGATCTTAACAAAAGAGAGGGGCGATATGAGAAAATATAGATATTAATGTTTTCAAAATATTAACTTTGCCTCAAGATTCAAATGATTAATGTTTCTAATAACTACTGCCAACAACAAAAGAACTAATCTGGTCACTTAATTCAAATAAAGGAATACTATGTAATAAATGCTGCATCTTATTTAATAATCATTAACACTAAAACATGAAAAATGAATGCTTAAGACACTAGCATCTTCTTAGTATATTAAAGACTTTCCTTAACCTAGATTCCTGTAGAATATATTATAAAGTTTCCCAGAGAGAAAGAGAAATTAAAAAATTATTACTAAATAGAGTTCTAGCTCAAAGCTTTGCCTTAAAAACAGGGACACTGACAATGGATCCGCAAATTAAGAATCTACATATCAGTTAAGTATTGTGATGCTTGTGATGGTAAAAAATAAAATACATGTGAGGTCCTGAGTTCCATAGATAGCATGGACAGAGGGAGAGGGAGAGGGGGAGGGAGAGGGAGAGGGGGAGGGAGAGAGATGGAGAAGGAGAAAGAGACAGCTGCATGGGCCTGCAGGGAGCTTAAATTTTGGAAGGAATGGATCTGCTATTTTTAATAAAAGCAATAATGCACAGTACTGTGGTCTTAATAGTTCTCAAAAAATCTTAGGTTAAAGTTGATGACCAATGTGACAGTATTAGAAAAAGGTGCTTTAGGAAGGTACTTGGGAGGGCTCTGCTCTCACAAATGGGATGAGTGCCGGTACACAGGAGACTCAGGAGAACCAAGCAAGCCTTTTCTCCAAGTGTCTCAGCTCCACAGGGCAGAAAGTGAGCCCTGCCCCTGGGTCATGAATTTCCCAGCCTCCAGAAAAGAAGACATTTCTAAGACACCCAGTTTATGATATTTCATTATAGCAGCCTGAACAGATTAAGATATAGCATATATGAAGAATAACTTGGGAGCATGAAAATTAGGTTAAAATATTCCTGAGATTACATACGAATTTATAATAATAATGAATATAATATTAATGTTCATTGTGTGCTGTATGGCAAGCAATGTTCTCATTACTTTGCAAAATTATTTTAACCTCTAGGTACTAGTTGAAAAACAAAAACATTTCACTATTTAGAAATAAGAAAACAAAAGCTCAGAGAAATTATATTTTCCAAGAGCCACATATGTGAAAATAAGAAGCAATACTGTGATTCTGTAGGTCACAGAAAATCCTCTAAATTATTGCTGTCTTCATTTTATCTTAATAATGGCATTGGGTATGTAGTCTTGATATAATCATCACCTGACACATTTTGAAATTAACTTTGAACTTGCCATTAATGTTTCTGATGTAGTCTTTTGAGTATCCATACAGATAATTTATTTTATGGAAGGAAACCAAAGGCCATTCTCATCAAGTCACTTTGGTAAAAGTGAATACAATTAGATAACGGTACTTTAGTGTAAAAACTACACAATACTTAGAAGTATTTCTTTTTGTTGCTCATACTTATTCTACAGGCGAGATTACAGGAGAGTTCTGAGGAAGGCAATGGTGAAATAAAAACTAATGACTTGAAAGAAGTAAATCATCTAACCTGAATATTTAAAATGAAGATTTTCTTTGAAGTTTTAAGTTGTCCTCTGCAGACTAATGGTAGTGCCTATAAAACTATCCAAGAGGGATCTTCACAGTCACTAAGAGGCATTTTACAGTGTTGAGATTTGTTTATAATTTAAATGGTGAAAACGATTTGAAGAATTGGTATGAACAGAAAAATGGAGCCATAACAGCATAGCAAGGGAAAGAATATTGAATTATCATATTTTTATAAGAGGTGGGCTGAATTAATATACAAAATGAGAAACACACCTAGACAAGTAGGGCTTTCTAGACTATGGGAGTGGAAGATACTTTATTGCTTTGTTTAAAACTTAAAATTTTGTCTGCTCGCCTATAGATTCCTTTGGGTAAGCTTTAGCATCTTCCTGTGTGAATATGGCAAATTCTCTTCCTGTCACCTGTCTTATCAATCATTTCCCTGTTGCTGCTATTGGCTCTAATCTCTAGTAGAATGATAATTGTGAAAAAAAATTTTTTTACAAAAAAGTAGTTACATTATTTCAATACTATCATTCTGTGTATCTCAAAACCAACAAAAAAAATCCCTCAGAAATTTGTCAAATAATGAGCATATCTATTATAGCAGTATCAATGTCTTCAATTTTCTTTATTTTTTCAAAATGAATATAAATCATTGTACTATATAGGCTTTTTTTTAGTTTTTATTGGTACATTTTAGGTATACATTTACATTTGTCATTGGGTGTTTGTACCTGTACATGATGTATCTTAGTTCTTATTTTTTCACCCATTACCTGTGCTTCCTTCACCCCCTCCATCCTTCCCTCTTTACATAGATTTCGTTTCCATTTTTTATTCTTTTCTCATAGTTTTTCCTTTCCCTTCCTCCCTTTCCCCTTCCCTTCCCACCACCCCTACACCTTTGGACTTTTTCCTATTTCAAATGATCAGTTATGAGATTCATGATATTCTTTTTTCATTAAATATATGTTGTGATTGAAACTAAGTGACATACACTCTTTACTAGATTTCTTAAGAAAAAAAAATACAAAATGAAGCCCTCATCTGTGGCTGTCTCTTCTTTTTATATTCTGGTCTTGCTTGGGAATTGCAGACAGGTAAGAAACATGTTTCTCAGTATCTCTGATGATTTTCTTTCATAATTTTCCTTCATTTGAAATGCAGAAGTTATAAGGGGTACAAAAATCTCATTTGCAGATATGTGAAAGGCAGATACATAATACAAATTAACACTATACTCAGCCTTTTCTTTTTAATATATATTTTATACATCAATACAAGATCTTGTTCATGGTAGGTCCAACAAATTTGTGTGTACATAATGAAGCTTTAAGAGCAAAAGTGACATTCACTGTAGTATATGCCTCCTCCAAGTGACTTTAAAGGAAATGTATATCAAAAATATTCATTTCCTAAAAGATTTAAACAATGCTTTGAGACAAAATCATTTAAGGGACAATTTGTTAAAAATCACATGTTCTATCCTCCTTGAATCCTTTTGACTGCTTATTCTTCATTTGGACACAAGTAAAACTGAACAAAAAAATATGTGTCTGTATGTAAAAGTTTCAGAATTTGCCAATGTAATAAATATTTTAAGATAAGAAATCTTAAAGTACAGAAAACAAGTCCTGTAAAGAGTGTTATTAACCATTAAAATAATTTGACATTTTTTCCTTAATCCACTTGGACAATTTCAGGTGAAACTATATGCAATAAATTATCAGACACTCCTGAAACCCAAATTTAAAAACAAAAGACATGCAAAAGAAACTGTGTTGCATATATATTCTTGTTTTGTTATAAAATATATTTAGTCAACAAATTTACTGAATAATTATAAAGTAAAATACATTATAGTGGAAATCAAAAGAAATAAAGTAATTATGGTAGTTATAGTGATGGTTCTAATTACTGAGGATGACATAAACACATATCCATATGTATATAACAGTATTTTATATTTTGAATCAATATTGCTTACCTGTATCGAAGCTTTTGATACTTTTTTTGCCAAATTAGGCAAAAATGTCAATTTAATATTTTTAAAAATCACTATAACAGAATTTTTATCATGTTAATATCACTGAGATTCCTGGATGGTTTGTTGTGCAGGAAGGAGCTGTGGGTGTATAAGTTGGACCTGTTGGCAAGGGGTATAATACTCCCTGATGTGCTCAGGAATATTCTAGAGTTGCTACAAGTTACTGTACTTGGCATATTCTCACACATAGAACCTGACACTTCAGAAGAGTTGCAAGTGTATGAAAAGGAGTTTAGCAAAAAGCACGATGACCTCTTCACCTGGCACAGCAAAGGCTGCTGGCATCCAAGCAGAGAGGCTCACCTTGGAGAGGGAGTGCCACTGGGCCACACCCTGCTCTAGGAAGTCACCCTCAATGCAGACAAACTGAACTTTTTTAACCTACATTAAAGGAAGGAAACGTTGCCTGTGTCTGTTGGTGTCTTTGACCAGTCCTTAGCCCGTCATAATAGATACAACTGTGACAGTATTTCTCACCATCTCCTAACATAAGATTGCATTTTAAAATCTTGTGTTGAATTTTCTCAATATCGGCAATACCAGTAGTATCACTAGATTTTCTTTGATAGTTAAATTTATGGTTTTAGATAATGTTAAGAGCAAATACAAAGCCCGCAATGTTGACAGGGTTTTGTTTTTTTTTTTTGGTAAGAGCTGTAACTGTGATTTCAATAAAAACAGTTTAAAAATTAACTTATTCAACAATCACAATGAAGTACATCTAATAAGATAGCATCATTTCCACACTAAAGATCTGCCTGAATTATTCCTGTATCACTGGATGGTGTGATCCGCTATTACAACTTCAAACATGCAAGCATAGCATTTCAATGATTAGGTCTCCACAATTTAAGCAAAGGGATTCTTTGAAATACGTAGGTGGATAATTTTGGTAAAAGGGCATGCGATCACTGAAGTAGAAACATGAACTTTGAAAACAAGAGCATTATAACCTGAGTTAGCAATTACTTCCACTCTCCACTTTGCTTCATTACACGTGAACAGTTTTTAACCATTAGGTTGCTTGATTCTCTGACATTAACCTACCACATAACATCATCATAATCATCACATCCAGACTAATGCAACTACTTTGCAATAGCTAAGTAATAAATAGATTAAGGGCAAACTTTTAAATTGAGTAGCAATGATGTAGAAATATTTCATCCTTATCTAGTTTCTTTAGTCACCTCATTTTACTCATAGAATAAGGTTTTAGATTCTTTCCTTGAGACACAAAGAAAGAGAATTTACTTACACTGCACGATGAGCTGCACCAAGGCTTCTCTTGGCTTGACGTTAAACCCATTGTATTGGCTGGTCTGACACCGGTACATTCCGGACATCTCCCTAGACACGTTCACGATCCTCAGCGTCCCATCATAACTCTCCATTTGCATTGACCCATCAGGCATTGCGACTTCCTTGTCCGCTCTAGACCACAGGATAATTGGCTTAGGTTTCCCAGTTACTTGACATTGCAGTTCTATTGTGTCTCCTTCTCTGGTGACCAAAGGTGATTTTTCCTGTGGAACAGTCAGATTGGGTGGAACTTGAAATGGGAAAAAGAAAATTTTTCAAGGTTAGTATAAACTGGTAAAGCATATTCAGACACAGAAAATCATAAGGAAACAATTTCTGCTGGTTGAAGAAATGTGACAATTCAGATGACAAAAAATTATACAGACCATGGGGAAAAAATGGAACCCTCACTCACTTAAAATGAGCCATCATTATTTTATTAAACATTCTCAGGGGACTTCAAGCAGTATCATTATAAACAAAGCTTTCCTGGGAAAATAAACGGTCAATATAAGAAAAATCTATTCAATGGCTTGTGTTCATCAGCCATGAAAAGGGTCTTTTCTCAGAAGGGAGATTCTGCTTCCTGAAAGTAGGATTCAGATACATAAACAGCATCAAACATTAAGTACAAAAACTCGGAAAGAGAAAAAGAGAAACCTGGGATATAAAATCAGAAGTTTTGACAGTGGCTCCAAAACTGTTGCAAAATTGCTAAAATTTAGGGTCTGTTTACTCCCTGGTGGGAATGGAATGGAATTATTTACTATAGTGTCATACTTTTTGACAGTCTATTCTACTCTCTTGGATTTTTATTTATTTGACATTTGAATTTCATGTAATTTCATTTTAAGACACTTAAATTGTAGGGATAGTTTACAATGGTGTTGCTATTGTTTCTAAAAATAGATTTGCAATATATTTCTAAAATATATTTCAATGAATACAAGAATCATTTTTGTCAAGGAAAATATTTTTATTGTGATAAGAATATTTAGGGGGAAATTAGATTCATTTTTTGTTGAAACATTTTACTGGGTTGGAATGTTCATGTTAAGATTCAGTGAAGAACTAATAAGAGGGAAGTATTACAAAATGATTTTTCTTACATTACAGCTGTTTTATTAGAATGTTTTTATTTTTATATATAATTATACCTCAGTTTTGAAATGGGTTTAAAAGTAGAGAATCTATCCAAAAAATCATAGGGTAAACAAAATGTGTGAAATAAAAATTACAAACGTGAATAATTTTATCTTCTATTCTCTATGCTATCATAGCCTATCCTCTTCTATTCTCCAACCTGTATTCTCTATCCTCTATCCTGCATTTTATGGGTAGTACAACATATGGATTAACAGAAACTAATTACTTTCCCATCTAGTATTACAGAAGTTCTCAGGTACAAAACAAAGTTAGATATAAAGATATTTTTTGACTAATGCCAAAGTGCTGTTTCTCTTGTTATAAATGAAGAAAAATAAATGCAAGTCAGAAATAATGTGAGAATTATCTTGCTTCTCAGGTTTCTTCATGTCAACTTTGTCATTTCACTTCAAGTAAAGAAACAGTAGTTACATAGTGCATAGCATTCTAGAATTTAGTAAATGTGAAATATTAACTACATCTTGAAATACATACATATATATGATCATACATATAAACATAAATTTCTTATATAAGAATTTAAAATTCCTTAAACAGCTGCAATAAAAACCTAAATGTTAAAATGATTTAATGAAATAATAGATTAAAGATTAACTAAATCTTTTAGACATAAACAATAATGTAGTCAAATAATTTTTCCTTTGGAAGTGAGCCACAAAGTAAAGACCCAAGTCTAATCAGTATCTTGTAAGAATAGGATTTGAACAGAGCTGCAATATTTATTCCACCTTTATGAGACAAAACACAGAATAACAACGAAAATTCTGCACTTCGCATTTCTTATGCCTCTACCAAATGGCAGGCACAGTTAAAGAATAACTAATTGTATAGAATTTCTATGGTAATCTTAAACACAAAATATTTAACATTAAAATGAGAACACTAAAAATAAAAGATGACAAATACTTTGATTTGAGCAGATTGCAAATAAAGGCCAATTAATGGCAAATAGCTAAGGAAGAGAGGGGACCCTTGAAGCAACTCCAGTAAACCATGGGGTCTGGAATTCACCACTGCATTAGCATTGATCCTTTCCTTCTGAGGACAAAATTTTTTCTTCCTCTTTTCTTTTTCTTTCTTTTTTTTTCTTTTTTGTACTAAGAATGGAACCCAGGGCCTTTGTATTGAGCTACATCCCTAGCTTCTAAAAAGTTTTTCATCCTGAGACAGGGTCTAGTAGATAAATTGCGCAGATGTGGCTCAAACTCCTGGTCCTCCTGCCTCATCCTCCCAGAGTGTTGAGATTACAGGAATGCACCACCACATGCAGCATGGACAAACCCTGGGTGTTTCTTGGTTACTGCCTCAGAGGCAACATAAAAGAGTGAAGACAGAAATGTGAAGGGTGTTTTGCAAAATTACTTCATGTGTAACATATCTTCAATAACTACATCTATGTATATAAGAATATGTTCCATATGTTTTGAAATTGCTTATAAACCAAATACAGTGGTACCTTGGTTTAAGAGTTAAATTTGTTTTATGATTTGGGGGATGTGTTGGTGTGCAGGGAAGATGGCCATGGTTGTGTTTGTCACCCAATATGGAGTTTGTGAATGGAAGCAAATTTCTGCCAAACACTTTTGTTTGTGAACTGAACTGTTTGCAAACATAAGTGTTCATGATCAGATGCATTGATGTAAATATCCAAATTTTGATAAGTCTTTGTGAAATACAGGAGATTATAAATGAAAAGATTATTTAGTGGAATGTTAATACTTCAATTTTTCAATTCATATCTCTTCCAAAAACAAGTTGTGTGATTTTGGCCACGTAGAACCACTCTGATTATTAATTTTTCAACTTGGAGAATATTCACTTTATGTATGAGCCTCAAAGTTTTATTTTTCTGACAAGAGGAACAAATAGTAAAAATTTAATGAGAGATGTGATTTCAAATAAAAGCATTTATTTTATGACCTAATAAGATTAAAGATTGTATAACACTGTTATTCTAATTAAAATAAACCCTTGACTAGGTATAATTTTTTAAGTTTATTGTGCTACATGGTTCAAAACTTCTCTTTGTAAATTTGCTTGTCAATTATGTATTTAAACATTAACCCCTGGCTAATTAAAATTATAGAGGGCCGGGGATTTAGCTCAGTGGTTCCCCCACCTGCCCTGCAAGTGCAAGGACCCGAGTTTGATCCTGGGTACCAAAAAAAAAAAAAATTTAAAATTATAGAAAAGTAGCCAGGGATTTAGCTCAGTGGTTTCGCTGCCTGCTGCACAAGTGCAAGGACCCGAGTTCTATCCCCGGTACAAAAAAACCACAAAATTATAGAAAAGTAAATTTCAGTTTTAATCTAGGCAACTTAAATTAGTTTTGATAATTTAACCCAGTTTTTATTCAATAGAAAAACTACAAGATAATTTAATATCCTTTTCTTCTATAGAATTTTAAATCTTGAAATAAGTGTTTAGCCTTTTTCTACAATTCTTTTGGGTTAAAGTCTTTATAATTTCTCAAATCTTTTATAGGTGTCTCTCTTTCTGACAACATATTTTCTAAACTTTATAATTCTGCACTAAACTAGATTATAATTATAAATGTTTCTATTGGGAATGCTCATTTGTTTCCATGTATTTTCTCTCTTTTACATGCTGCTAATACATAGTCTAACCTTATTCCAATGTTCTTCCACCTATGGTTCCAATTTATGTTTTTTATTCTCAAAATCTTTCAGATCTCTAAGCCTAAGCACAGTACCTATGTCTTGCCTTGGCTAATAGTTACCAAAACAACCCATCTATTAATTAAAAAACGGTGTTTTCCTTGGTCACCATTTCCTGTCTGTCCCTTCCAAACAGCCGTCAGATCTGGTTCTTTCTCAGGTATGTCTCTCATGTCTGCCTATTTCTTTTTGTGGCCATAAGCAGACTTCTCAGAAGTCATCATTTTGTTTTTCTTACGACAGTACCCTAAATTGTCTCTCTGTCACCAATTTCATCCTTCCAGGTCTCCTGCTACCTTGTTGTAAGCTTTGTCAGCATAAACACAGTTTTGTTCATGTCAGTATAAACACTACAAACCTCACTGGAAGTGCTCATCATGACACTGCTTTAATACAAGAAAACTGAAAACAGCTTAATGGATGTGTAAAATAAATCAGGGAACAGTCGTACAATAAAATAGGACAGGGCATTTTAAAATAATGATATAATAGATATTTATTGATAAAGATATTTATATTAAGTTCAACTTTGTGATCATTTATGAGGAACTGTAACCACTGTTATTGAGTGAAATATGTCAATAGGAAATATGAACAGTGATATTTTTCCATATTAAATGGATTTTAGCTTCTCCTGTGACATGCACACATACACAAAGTAGCTATGTGAGTTGATAAATATGCTAATTTGCATTCAATACAGTAACCATTTTACTATGAATCTGTGTACCATAACATATTCTAAATCTCAAATATATACAGTAAAATTTAGTTTTTTATAAAAAGACATACACTAGTGGTTGCTGACAGGGAGCTAGCTTCATGAAGGGGAAATATCTATGCTTCATTTTTATATTGTCAGCGTTCAACACACTTTCTCTCACAAAGACTAGGATCTCAGTAGAAAATTTTAGAACTAACATATATTTTAACACAGTAAGGTATTGAGCGCTGATTTGAGGAAGGGAAGGAGACATACATGGAAACAATCCAGAGGCAAAGAAAGACCAGATGCAACTAACTATACTAGCAGCAGTCTGCTTTGTATGTAGTATTACTGTTATATTTTATTTTGTGTTTTGTAGTATTACTGTTATATTTCGTTTTGTGTTATTTTCATTTTTCTACAATATCTTTAGCATATATTAGCATATCACAGGCTCCAAGAAACTCAGAGAAATTTAAAATATTATTGTAATATATTTTCCATAACTCATGTAACGAAATCTGCCTTTTTTAGTAAAGCGAATATACCGTTCTTGAAATGGTATTCTGAATAACGCAGTCTGGGCGATGCGCCTTTGCAGTAACTACATACTTCTCTTCTCCTTTAAGTCAAGTTTTAGCGACAGGGTCACCCTAGTGCTCTAGAACAAGCTGTTCCTTCAATGTTTCGCTCTGGCTG